AGCGGCGCGGGCGGGGCGGGCGCTTCCGGCGGCGGGCGGCGCGCGGGCGGCTCCGCTAAGAACCCATAGATTTTCTTTTTCTGCTTCAAAATAAATACAAAGGGGCGCGGGCGGGGCTGGGGCACAGCGATCCCGGGAAAACGCGGGAATCCCGGGAAAACGCGGGAATCCCGGCGATTACAGCCAGCCTGGGACACCACAACAAGCCCCGGGATTACAGCGATCCCGGGAGACCACCACAATCCCTGGGATTCTAGCGATCCTGGTGGGTTTAGGGCCATCCCGAGGGGTTACAGCCAGGGCGCTGGCTGACAGCAATCCCAGGACACCATGGCGATCCCAGGGGATCAGGGCCATCCGCGGGGACTGCTGGCGGGCCAAGGCAATCCCAGGGATTACGGCAATCCCAGCACACCACGGGAATCCTGGGAGAAGGCAGCAATCCCAGGAGATTACGGGTATTCCGGTGGAGCGCGGCATTCCCAGGAGGACCAAGGCAATGGCAGGGAACACAGCGATCCCGGTGGACTCGGGCCATCCCGGGGGGTTACAGCGACCGCGCTGTCTTACAGCGCTCCCAGGGGATCGCGGCCCCGTGGGAGCGCCGGGGCAGTCCCGGCGCTTGCAGCCCTCCCGGCGATCCCCGCGGAGCGCCGCCGGCCCACGGAGACGGGGGCTCCGCGAGAATAACTTAACCCGCCCCCGCTGGGCAGTACTGACAGGGCGCGGCGGCGCCGGGCGCGGAGCGGGCCGGAGCGAAGGGCGGCCCCGTCCCACGTGCAGACCCGCTGCAGCGCGGCGCGGCCGCCGTGCGCGCCGCTAGTCGCTCTCGCTCGAGTCACTGCTCTGCTCGCCCTGCACCTTGTTGCGGTGCTGCATGGCGCGGTGGTAGGCGATCTGCACCGACTTGCGGATGTTGGACTTGCGGCCCTCCAGCATCTTCTCCTTGTCCAGGTCCTGGTTGACGCCCAGCGGCACGAGCTTCGTGCGCGGCAGCCACTGCCTGCGGGGAGAGGGGAGCCACCTCGCCTGAGGGTTGGAGGCAGCTGCGCGCGGCGCCCGGCGGCAGCCCCGCGCCAGCCCTTACCAAGTGCGCTTGTTGTCGAAGAAGAGCACGAGGTAGAGGTGCTCGCGGGCTTCCTGAGTCATCTGCTCCCCCAGCTTCAGCACCTCCAGCGGGGGCACGGGGATGGGCACGCCGTGGTGGAACATGCCCTCGCGGGGCATCTTGGGGTCGATGATCTGCGGGAGGAGCAGGTCGCGGGGCTGAGCGCCGAGGCGCCGCGCAGAGCTCGGCTGCGCGCCCAGCCCCTGCCCCGGGGATGTGTTTTCCACACCGCGTCACCCTCAGGTTCCCTCCAAGGGTAAGGGTAATGAGCCCTTCAGGAGACAGAAAACCGCGCCCGGTAACTCTGCCCCGCGCGGGCCTGGTGCCCAGGTAGGGTGTTGGCGACGCGCTGGCAGCCCGGGCCTGCACCGTTCCTCTGGGCACGGCGGCAGGAAAAGAGCCAAGGATTAAAGGATTACGCACAGACACCCGCCACCAAGGTGTCCCATGGGTGTCGCGGCACCACAGAGCACCCCTGCGTACGTCCCGTTGCCACAAGTAGCAGCGAGTGCCTCCAGGTTAGAAACAAAGGAAAAAGGCGCCTTCCCTGCTGGGCACAGAGCGGTTACTTTGTCCAACTCCTGCCCCACTCACCAGGGCTCAAATAAACAACAAATCCCACAAATCGGCAGGGCTGCTGAGGAGGGAGAAGGGCTGGATTCATCAGGGATGTCTGTCCCACTCCAGCTCCCCTTTCCCTGGGGCTGGCAGCACGATGCCAGGCTGCAGTTTCCCAGCCCACCAGGCTGGGGTTTTGCAGCGGGGCAGCCCCTCGCAGTGGGAAGGGGCCGGGCCACGGTCCCTCCCTGCACTCACCAGCGCTGGGTACGACGGGTACCCCCGGCACTTGGCCCACACGAGATCCAAGGCGTCCAGAGAGGAATCCTCGTCCTCCGAGAGCCACCCTGCGCCACGACCAATGCCCTTCCTCACCACTGCGCGGGGAAAGAGAGCGGAGGGCATCAGCTGGGTCCCTTGCTGGGGACAACCGGAGCTGTGCTGCGCCAGGAAGGCCAAGATACTCACTGCCGTGCCCCACACCTCGGCCAGTGCCAACCGAGTAGGATTCGTTCTCCGTGCCCGACGTGTCCTCGCTGCTGTCCTCGGGGAAGTTCACACGGGAGAAGGAGGGTTTCCCTCTGCCCTGTTTCGAGGGCGTTGTGCTGAAAGGAGAGCGAGAGCAGAGCAGTTGGAAGAGTTGCATGAAGCTTCCAGAGCTGTTTTCCCGAGGACAATCCCAGGGGCCCTCAGGCTCCTGAGGAGAGCCCCATAAGCTCAGGAGCTCCAGCCACAACCGCCAGCACCATGAAGGGCAGCAGCCCATGGGGAAGGAGCCACACACAGAAGCACAGCCAGGCCTTGCAGCCTACAGGCACTATGTTGTCCCCCTCGGCCTGCAGGAGGCTGAAACAATCACAGAATCACAGAATGGGTGAGGCTGGAAGGGACACAGAGATCATCCAGTCCAAGCCCAGCTCCAGCAGGGACACCCAGAGCACAGGGCACAAGGAGGGAGGTCCCATCAAACACCTCCTCGCACAGCAGCTCAAGGCTGTGAGGTGCCCCCGGGCAACCTAAGCAGCACCCCGTGAGCGTGGCCAGGCCGGACACGGTACCTGGTGCGGTCGGAGGCAGCGCTGCTACTGCTGCTGCTGCTGGACTCCGAGTCGGAGCTGCTCCGAGGGAGGTTACAGTCATTCCGGTAAACCAGGAAGCTCTTCTTCACTGGCTGGTTCCCGCTGCTGAAACCGTTGGCTGGCAGGTCTGCAAAACAAAGCAGCAGCAGCGCGGCGGTGTGACGGCACAGAAGGTGCCACCCGCTCCTCGGGGGCTGCGGGGGCTGCACTCACCCATGGGCGCATCTTCGGCGGATTTATCGCTGTCGCTGTCCGAGCTGGAGCTGGGCCGCGGGCTTCGCCCCCGCTTGCGCTGCCGCTGGGAGGAGCCCATTATGGGGAGCTGCGGGGGCCCGATGGGGCTGTTCCCGTGCCCGGGAGGTATCTGGCTGTCCCGATTCTTCGGGGGGCGGCCTGGGCGCTTGGGGGGTCCTGCCGTTTTAGGGTTCTTCTTGGAGAAGAGCACGGAGGTTCTCCTGCCAACTTCATGTGCTGGGGTGGAAGAAGAGTTGGGACCGAGACCTGAAAAATAAAAAGAAGGCATCAGCCGTGCTCCAGAGGACTTGCCAAGCAGTGCCAGGAAAAGCAGTTCCCTTTCTCAGGAGCTGCTTCTTGCAAGATTCCAATCCTGAGCTTTGTCTCGCTCGCCCTCGGGCTCGGACCAGCAAGCCTGCAGAGAGCAAAACCTACAGCGGGAGCCTAGCACACATGGGGACATCAAAGAATCCCCCACCAGCCACGCAGATGCCCTCAAACACATCAAACTCATTGAAAAAGAAGTGAGGAAAGAAGGACAAGCAGAAGTAGCCTTCCCCATAAGGTGTTGAAACAGGCAGCAGCCAACAATCTCCACTGCAGCCTCGGAAGACAGCAATGCCAAGCACTGCTTGCAGAAAAGCCTGCTTTCCCAGTGCTCAGGGGGACAGGTCCGCAATGCAAGGTGACAAAGCCCCAGGAAGACCTCGCTGCTCTGCCCGGGGATGTGTGCTTTGCTGTGCCCTCCATGTAGCCCAGCTCCACATCTCCTTCCCGCAGCACACGGGAGCAGGCACCCGGGGAGCTCCGGGCTGGTCAGCACCCAGCTCCCAGCTCCGAGTGGGTGTTTGGAGCTTGGCAGTCAATAGTTCCAGCCCTGCTGCAGCTCTCTCCTGTGGCCCATGCTGCTCCCCGGCAGGACGGGACAACCCGGGCAGCTCGGAGAGCCTGTGAATGTCTCTAGAGAAACGAGGCAGAGGGGCAGATCTGGGCAGGGGCTGCCATCAGGAAACAACGCGTCTCACACCTCACGTGGCACAGCTGGGATTTTCATGGCAAAACACTGAGTTTCTGGGATGACACCCAGCTCCTCGGGCACAGGCGAGACAAGCTCAAGAGCAGGAGGGCTGACCACAGCTGCAAACGCACGGAGCGGCCGGCACACGCAGCAAACGGCCTCCTCCGGCAGCTCCCCCAGCCCTGGCACACACGGCCCACTGCAACTACGCAGCAGGCTGCCCTCCTCAGCTCCCCTCAGCACAAAGCAGCACGGGGAGCCAAAGGTTT